ACCCCCCGACGACGAAGCTTCCAATTGGTCTCAGTTGTTTCTAAGGTGAATCAGAAAGGCTTTTAATAAGGAAATCCAAAGAGCTCACGGGCTATATGAATAACTTCAAAGCGAGGTTAATATAGAGCCCCTGAGCATTTGTCATGCTGCCACAACCTTTATACAAGCTGAAGGACAGAATCATGCTCTGTCAAGAAAACTCCCTTTTTCCTACTATAAAAAGCATATTGTTTTTCTGCTCTCAGAACCACTGGGTAAGTTTCGTATAAGAATACTGCAGTAACAAAAAAACAAAGAATGACAGCAGTAGATACAGAGATGGGTGCTGCCCTGAGGCTGAACCTGGAGTATCAAACCCCACATTCACCCGCAATATTATAACTATCCCTGCAACTTGTGTTGATTCTGAAAAGCTTATAAAGGCATATTAGACAGGTAGGAAAACGTTTCAGCCTCAATGTAGGTGAATACACTGAGTGCTAAAGGCCTATGTGAAAGTCTATAACAAGCAGCAAGAGTGCAATCCATGCAATTTCCTCTCCACCACAAAGATGGAGCTGCCTTCCCATGTGTTATCTGGTCTTGCAGTTGACAGAGACATCAAAATCCTGACACACATATTATATTGCACATGACAAATTCATGACATCTGCACATGCTGCCAAAGATAAAAGCCATGAGTCTGGTACAAGGCATGTGGGAATAGATGTACAGTAATGAGAGCCTTGGGGCCTGCCTTAATGAGGAGGATTAGTGAACTTTGATACAGCTCTCGTGTGCTGCTGTAAGTGGGGTGTTAAAGCTGAAAGCAGTGAGGACTGAATGGAGAAGGGAGCAGTAGTTTGTCAGGTAGAGGACGGGCTCACCTTGGCTCCCAGGAACCTCTTAAATGAGACAGAAGGAGTGCAGACCGATAGATGAGGCAAGATTGTAAAAACTGACAAGTGCAATCAATAGATCGCACAGTGATATTAACTTGCTATCATCTTTTTGATATCCCGCTGAGATGGGATGGAGGAGCAATTTCCAGGTTCAACAAATGTGATATGTCTTCTCAGCATAGCAAATGTTCGTGATTAATTTTTCAGCACAAACGCTATGTGACCTTAGAGCACATTATAAATCTATTTCAAGTTAATTGCTTAATTTGCAAATAATATGCTATCAAGAGGCATTTTACAACTTCACTGTTCCCATCATAGCAGATGGGACAGATGGGCACAGATATTTTTTGGAGACAGACTTCTGTATTAAAGACCAATAATGGTGATGTATTTGTCTTTTTTTCACTTCTTTGAGTGTAATTTCTGAATTGCTCACACGTGGCAAATCCCCCTACATCTAGTGGCAAGGGTGATCACTTTGAGCACTCAAATTTAAGGCTGGCCAACATCCTGGCCTCAAGTGCTGCATATCTTCTAATGTATCTTATGAAGGCCCGGTCACACCAGAAAGTGACACAGCAAGGTCCTCTGAGCGTCCTCATGAAATAGGAAGTGCTAGAAATTTGGCAAGGTGGTGACTACTTGAAGGGCTCGTTGGTGAATTACTGTAGCTATAAGCAATGTAACAGCTGACATGCTAGCCAGCTGGGAACATGCCAGCACTAGTCAGTTACAATCATGTTCAGGCTAGCTCTCCAAGCTAGCTGCATTTAGCAAGCTTGTCAGTGAACGGCACAATACATTCACAAATGTCTTTAAAATTAAACTTCTGCCACTGTGGCCACAAGTAACTATCATGGGAAAATGGTAAATTCTCAAACCGTTGGGGTTTTGGTTTCCTGTCTCAGTCTTGCTGTGGCCAGTTATAGTGTTGTGATTTTGGTTTGGGTTCTGTGATTTCTGTATTTGGTCATGTCCTGGTTTGTGATTTGTTTTGCATCTGTTCTGTGTTTAGTGCCAGTCCTGTTTCCTGTTTTGTTTATTACCCTGCTTATGTGTGTGGTGTTCTGTTGGATTACCACATGTGCTCCACCTAGTCTTGGTCCTGCCCTGCTCTTTACTTTCTGCTTAAATGCCGTTGTTATATGATATGGCAAGTGCCTGTCTTTGCATTCTCCCCGTTTTGGATTATGCCTATTGGATCTAACTGTAAACTACCTTTGTTTGGACTTTTGCCTTTAACCCATGTAAGCCTGTTTAAGTTTTATTAATAAATCACAAGAACAGGCTCCTGCTTCTTTGAGTCTTGCGTTTGGGTCCTAACCTGCCTCTGCACTTGGCCAATCCTCACAAAAAATGTGTGTGTAAGGCTGTAGCCCAAAACCCTAAGGATACATTTTATTGATTATGAATTGAGGTGATTTTCATTTGTACAAAGAAAATAGTTTTTATAACTAGATAGTCTAATTTAAGCAAAGTATTTGTACCATGGACCCATGTCACGCTACTCTCTGAAAAACAATTTTCTTTCTGTTTCCTCCAAGGTTTCCTATTTGTCAATGACATATGTCAACACAAACTCAACACAAAAGATTACTTTGCCCCCAAATAGGGTTGCTAACTCTCCCGTCAATTACTGAAACATCCCGTAATTGTAAACTGAAAGATGTGTTCCATTAGAACAAATACGGGACACGCTTCATTCCATATTTAAGCAAAAACAATCAAAGTACACATCAAAGTAATTTTTCCCAAAGATGGTTTCTGTCATTTTAGTAAATTCTTATCACGCTGATGTATGTTTAAGTGTTCATTTTTACAATAAGTTTGGTTTAATTAATTTTGTTGATGCTATAAAAAGGGGGTTTCACGTTATGACTGACGGCTGAGACCTGCTTACGATTGAGTAGGCCAGGTGTATGGATGGATGACCTCGATACCATGGCCCCAAGTTCAATCACTACTGCACAGACTCTGGCTCCAAATGACATCACCAGCGCAAGATGGCAACACCCAGTATCCACTTCACTTTTGTTCACTGGGATGAAGTTAAGAGCCATCTTTATAAACAGGATATGGTAGAAACAGCTATTAGCAGTTTGCAGCTCTCTCCATGTCTCCAAGTCCGACCTGAAATGACTCAAGTGATTTCACGTGTCTTTCTAGGTACACAATGCAGCATTTAACTTGGACTTGCTATAATTAGACTCCAGGATATAGCCTTATCTGAGACAGTGAGCATTACAGATGATAGTTTAACTTTTAATGGAAGAGCACATTTAGTTTGTAGACTGACAGTTCTCCATCTAAAAACGTCTAACTGAGGTCTCACTGCAGTGTTTTATCATTACCATATGTCTCATAGTGACGATGATTGGGAAGATATTAAAGAGGGAGAAAGTCTTTGCCTCCACTAGTTTCTTTGCCCTAGATTTAATAAAATATTGCGGTTGTCTTTTTTTACAGTAAGAGTGACCGACATTCTGGCAAGCAGTTATAGTCTTTAGAAGAGCGTTCCATCAATCCCATAGAGAAAACTTCACAAGCACGCCCAACACGTCCCTGACATTTTTGAGGGAATCAACCCAATTCGCCTGGCAGATTGCGTTTTATCTTTCTCTCCACCCTCCCAATCAGTCCCTTTTGCCTGGGGTATGGCGCCTCCTTGCCATCACTTACCTGAACTTCTTATCTGTTTTCTTCCCCTGAAAGCAAAATTGAAACAAGCACGGATTAACTCAATGTCACGGCAGCTTTGTCCCTGGGATAATGGGGGACAATGAGCTCTGCAGTGACAGCATTAAATGGTGCCAATTTTCTCAGAGAAAGAGAGAATCATAGAATGAGAAAGGAAGAGTTTGGGGAGATATTTTAACCCTAATCCAACTTTGTAAATCAGAACGCTCTGGGTTTTGCTGGGAGTTTGTCCCGTTGAAGTGATATATACAGTATCATCCACTGTAGTGCAGGCAGCACAAATGCTGACTGAAGCTATGTGACAGAACAGCTTTAAGAAGATTTGGTGAAGAATGTCACAAGAAAAGATTTGATGCGTTTTGTCTTCAGGGGATAAAAAGTTTGAGGTGAGTTTTTCCCTCTGCAAAGTATAACGACACTGTTCATCCATACATCCTCAGTTAACCACAGGCTCCAGTGCTACATGCTAACCTAAGCATTCACAAGTGTTAATGTAATGTAACTAAGTACATTTACAAAAGTATTGAACATCTGAGATACTTGTACTTTATACTTTTAGTCCACTACATTTCAGAGGGACATATTGTACTTCTTACTTCATTACATTTATCTGACTGCTTTAGTTCCTAGTTACTTTACAAATCAAGATTTTTGCATACGAAAAATATGAAGAGCATATAAAATATGACTTTTTGTTAAAAATTATATCCAATAGTACCCTATTTACAATTTTGAGATAATTAGAAAATTAATGACAATTATTTTGAAAATCACTTAAGTCATTTTTCATGTGAGAACATTTCAGGCTTCCTAGTTCTCAAATGTGAGGATTGGCTGCTTTTCCTTTTTATTACTTTATGAATGAAAATTATCATTACTTGAGGTCCTACACAAAACAGTTCAAAATGAGCTCCACCTCAAAAAACTAAGACATTCTGCTTTTACATTAATGCATAAGTAATAATAACCTAATAAAATAAGATTGACTGCACCAGATCTCCCTCAATCGTTTGCTTTTTGGTCCTGACTGTGTTCCTGCTACACTGCTTACACCAACCGTGACAACTGAATTTCTGTTTAAGTCTGACGTTGAATGATTTACTTTTTAAATCAAGAATATATCTCTACAGTCATGTAGAAAAAGAAAGCACAGCCTCCTTTAATTCAATGTTTTTATTCATCAGGGCCTAAATAACAGTTGTGTGGTCCTCACCAATTTATATACAGTAAACAAAAAAACAGCCATTGTTTCCCAAAAGTTCACAAACCTGATGGGGAAAAATAAGTACACCCTTCCTACTTCCACAGTCATTAAGACAGTAATTAACTGCCAGGTGTTACTAATCAAATGCACAAGATTAGTTAATTATCAAGGAGTGCGACTACCTCTATAAAAGCAGAACTTTTGGCAGTGCGGTGTGTGGATCACTCAGGTGTGTGTCTACATCATGCCAAGAAAAAAAGGACATCAGCCATGACCTCAGAGAAGCAATTATTGCTGCTCATCAATCTGGGAAGGGTTATAAGGCCATCTTCAAACAATTTGGAATTCACTATTCTGCAGTGAGGTGGATCGTTGATTGGCCTTGAAGACAATTGCCAATCAAATTCTATTCAGGGTCAGACAATTTAATGATCAGACATATAAACAAAAACCCAAGACCTACATCACGTGACCTACAGGCTTCTGGATGCACATTACATATTTATGTTCATGACAGCACAATTAGAAAAAGACCAAACAAGTATGGCTTTCATGCAAGGGTGGCTATGGAAAAGCCCCTTCTCTCCAAAAAGAATATGGCAAAAGAACTTAGGTTTACAAAATTGCATCCGATTAAACCACAAAAGTTCAGAAATATGTTTGGTAATTATGCACAGCGCCATGTTTGGCGGAAACCAAACACAGCGTATCACCACAAACACTCTGACCAACTGTCAAGCACAGTGGTGGAGGGGTTATGAAATAGGTATTTGTTTTGCAGCTACAGGACCTTGGGCACTGAGACATCGATGTTGTTGACGAAGTTGGTGAGAACCACACAATTGTTATTTAGAAGGATGTACTTTCACTTTATATGTCATGGTATTTCACTTCATTATTTTTTCTCCAAGACAAATCTATCTGTGCTGTAGCAGAGCAAACAGGGGGGCTGTGCCGGGACCACCCAAAGGGGCACACTTTGGACCTAACCTGCCTCCTCTGAACATGTATCTTTGTTGTTTAGTTGAATATTTTGAATAAAGTTTAGCTTGTGTGTGATTGCAGCAATGCAACACTGTGGTCTATTTGTATTGTTGATTCAACCTAGGGTACGCTAACATGGATTAGATTTAGATTTTTGTGGTCGGGCACTAGGACCCTGGGGCAGGCTGCCTTTCATTGCTGCTCTGCCAGCTGCTGAGCAAAGTTACTTCACACACACACCAACACACACACAGACATGTAGAACAGTGGTTCCCAACCTTTTTCCCTGGGCGTCCCCCTACTTTTATCAAAGAAAAGCTGAGCCCCCCCCCCAACAGCTGACAAAACACGCACACAGAAAAAGATGATGTATTTACTTACTAGTAGCGAACAAATAGAGTCAAATGACACCTCCATGGCTCTGTGTAAATCAATGCCAGCTCTTGGTTGGCCTTCACCAACAGTCTCCTGGTGTTTTTGTTTCTTGGTATTGTTTAATACCAAGAAAAGGGGTTTATAAGGTGTAATATTAACAAAATAGCCTATAGGCCTACAGCTTGCACTAACTTAATTGTTTTCTACATATACTTTACTTGGGTGGGCCGGACAGGTATAGTTGCACCTTCCAAAGTATATATGGCAACCCACTTTAGCATTTTACAGAGAAACGGTGAGGGAGAGGTCATCTGGTATTACGTGAACGGACACGCAGGAAATGTTACATTACGGACCGACAGTGAATGCACCACTGCAGATGTCACTCACTAACGTTAAGTTTCAGTTTTGGTCCACATGCGGCGCTCTTGAAAACTGAATCATGGGTGAGATTATTAAACACGGCGACTTTATGAAACGTACTGCTGATGGAGAAAGTCAGCATACACATAACAGGGAGAGAGAGACAGAAAGAGGCGGAGACAGACGGCGTGTTTTCCGTGAGAGACCAGAGATGCAGGCTAGGTGTGTGTCAGTGTGAGGAGAAGAGCAGAGGAGCGGATTCAAGCAAATAAAACCTAATCTAAGGTGGAAAATTACCTACAATAACCTACTGTTAATACAAATAGCCAACAATAGGCTATAAACCGCTACCGAGCACAACTGCATCTGCCGGCGGCACTGTCTTAATGAGAGCTCAACAGTTCAATGAGCGGGCATGTCGCGGTTCTGTCTCTCGGATCCGCGACACCAGATCGTGGACTTTTGTGTCGCGATTTTGGTCTCTGTTTCAAAACCATTACAGCCCTACTACTAAGTAGTCTGCCTAGTATTTTCAGTGAGGAAAAAATGTGTACAGACTAAATAATCTAGTGTGTTATCACAATTTTTTTTAAATGTGCAAACCAAAGTTTTTTGGACAACCTCAAAACAGATAACCCTTTGTGATCTCTGGCGCCCCCCTTGAGGTTTTGGTGTGTGAACGCCATTAATAGTAGCCACTTTAAATAGGATCCTTATCAAGAGCGTATGCATGTATATTTGTATGCAAGTCAGAGCAAAATCACACTCTGATTGAACCAATCTACAGTGCAGCAATAGCAATTAGTGTAATTAAGTAGCCTTCTTATCTAAGAGAGAAAGGAATTAGATATGGTATTACTTTATACTTTTTTTTACACATTTACATGAGCAGCTGGACAGCATTTAAGTCACAGCCTACAGAAGAACTCAGTCTGGCCTAAGAGAATTCTCACCATGCAGCTTTGATGTGTCTGAAAGCTAAAATTACAGTAACTTTAGTCAGTGCTTGAAGTGGGCCGTTTTGCACCGGCATTTTACTCTTTGGTGTACTGGGACTTTTTCTTGCGTACTGGCACTTCTCACAGGCTGCCAGTACTCTACTCTGCCCTCTCCTTATCAGGTTCTCTGGGCGCTACGTGACGCTCACCTTTTCCCGTTCTCACCTGCCTGCTGAGCTCAAGTGCCTTTCAAGCAGTGGTGTGAAGAAAGTAACTCGTCAATGTCACTTTTTGTGAACTGACCAATCACAGCCTGGATGGGGCAGGATTTAAAAATATTGACATGTAGGTGTCATTTATACTTGGGACGCTGGGGACAGAAACAGAATGGCAGTTTTTTAAAGCCATTGTTAAAAATCTTTTGAAAAAAAATGCAACAAGAAATGTTACATAGCAAATTAAACAATGCACAATAAGAACATGCAATGAAATTGAAATATAGAAGAAATAAATGTGCATTGTCCAAAAAAGTAACTTAAGCTAAAACAACAAGCTGCCGATTACTGCATTATATTCCATTATATTTTTATATTTTGAATTGTCTCCTGCCACCTTAATTTTGTTTCCCTTCATATAAATAAAGACATTTCCACCATAAATTGGTGCAAAGTCTACAGAATGCAGGAAATTAAGTGTTTAATGCTCAAAGTCTTCTGGGGGAGGAGCCACATCCATATCTTCTCATCTTATTCTCGTGACCCAAATGTCGTCACAGCCCTAATCTGAGCCCTTACGTCCCCACCACTTTACAACACAAAGCGAAGCCCCAATCAACAAACTTTTGAAATGTTGAACTTGTAGTTCTGCATAAATGGTTATTGATTATGTCAAGTTAGTACTAGCATTAACAAATCAGAGAGTAACCACCATGTAGAGCATTTTTCTTGCATAATAATTTAATGAATGACAACAACCCACAAAAATTAAATGGATTTTTTGTGCAAATGGAATTTATATTGTAGCGTACTTGTGGTAAGCTATATTAGTAGTCTGTATTTTTCTGAAATTCTAATCAATACACTAAAATTAGCCCTAATCACACAGTGGTGTAATATCAGCTATATTTGTGAAACGGTTAAATTGTTGAATGCCATCTAATAAACTGTTTGAATATCTGTAGGCAGACTACCCAAATAAAGTGTGACCTGTAAGTATATTAAAATTATACTAACACTATACTTTGTATTTAATGTTATAATATTTACTAACACTAATTTATACTAGTTTCTCTTTCAGGTTGGGGTGAGAGGGGGCCTAATTTTAATAATACAGGGGCCTAATTTTTTTGTTCTTTTGTTCAAGAAAGGAATAATGGAAGAAGGAATATGTCTGTAACTTTTTGCCTGTTAACATCTTGGCTGCTTCACTGGTTGTTAATATAAGTGTAGTTCTAATACAGTAGCAAAGATGTTAGTGCAAAGATTTTGCATGCGCAAGTTACACATGCCCTGGGGGCTAAGGCCCCCCTGTCTGTCAATCTTAGTAACGTCCCTGAGCGGACCAGAGCTGAAATGCAATAATGTGTAATAGCTTCCCCCGGTCCAGACCAAATGAACTGGACCACAGGTGTGAAAGCAGCTTGCAGCCTATCTTCTGTATTTCTTTCTCTTGCTGTTTAAAAAAACAATAAAAGTGTGAAGAAAGTGCACACTGTATAACAGCCCCCTCTGCAATGAGCCATTGGCTTTGTGCCTCTATCTGTGGAAGTTTCTTTCTCTTATCCCCTTCCCTGAGCACCAAAACCTGGTTTCTTGTATATTTGATGTTTACAAAATCAGATTATTGCTGAAAGTGACTGTAACCCTGTAAGTGCACTGATGGATGATTGCCATTCCTTCATCATAACACAAATGAGTAAAGTGGCTAAAACAGTGTGCTCCTTCAGTAAAGTGCTTTTAAATGATGTACTTTGTTGTACTTATCCAAAGATGTACTTTGTAGATGCAGATGATTTACTGGACAAGCAAAAAGCAACAGGAATAAGCCTGCCAAGAAATTGTGGTTTGAATGATGGCGTCTGTATCTCAGTATCATTTTATCATAGGAGATTTTCACTTTTAAAATCACTGTATATGCTGCATTAGTATCATAGATCATTACATGTGGCTGGCAACATGAGTAAACCATCTTTCTCTTCATCCCCCCCCAACTGTTTAAATGTACGCCAATGCTCCTCTTCCACATGTGTGCATTTTGTTTTGGTACTCACAGGAAAACGATCAATGGTCAAGTCATTTATCCAAACACATGTCGAGTCATGTCAAGATGAAGGGGTCCGAATGGTACAACTCCTCTTGATGGTTGATCACATTTGTCTCTGTTTAACCTCTCAGGTCACCTAAAGAGGGAAGAGGCACAGTCGTAGTAAATTAGGGGTTATGGTTGTTCTTATCACAATAACCTACAAGCTGCAGAGTTGAACAAAACAATTGTAGGAAATTGGCAGCTCTATGATTGATTTTGAATGATGACGATTTTAAACTGTTGGTCTTTACATTTTCAAGGCATTAAATAGTATAAAAAACCTGCCCTTTTTGATTTAGCCTGCCGGAGATGTATCTGCAACCAGCAGCACGTGGTTCGCCTTGACCACAGTGGAATTAAATCTTCAAACATTTAAAATGCACTTTGGAGTGCAGGAGGGAGCAGAAAAACAGTATTTTGGCTTTGGGTTGAGTAATTATACCCCTCTTACTCTTTGATTTGAGTCTGTAGGATTAAAGGTTGTGTAAATCAGTTTGAGGGAAAATATGAAGATAAGGACTTCAGGATCAGACAGAGACAGGTCCATGATGTTTTCAAATGTGGCAATATGTTTAGGTTAGTTTGATTTATGAAAGGAGGGAATAGCTGGTGTCTAACACAACATTAATACGTATCCTCATTAAAATTCTGTGACCATGTCAGAGCCCATGTCCTCCCAGAACCCACTGCAGCTTCTCATCCTAATGGGAGAAGATAAAAGCACACAGAGAAAGAAATGGGCACCACAAGGTTTCATTATGTTTATTTTGGTAAAAACAGTGTGCTGTCTCCAGGCTGGACAGGCCGAGGTGAACAAACAAAACCAATTTTCAGTCTCAATGCAATTAGCGCTCTCTTTACAGAACAATACATCTTTCTGCTAACACAAGGCTTTTCTTAAAGTCTGCATCTGCCAGGCGTCTGTCTTTGCCAAATAAACGGTCGGGGTAGAACACTAAATGACACAAAATCCAACTGGCTAAAAGAGAAGACGCGGCAGTCTCATGGCAATGGACAAGAGACACCAAATTAAATAGAGTCAGTGTGATACTGGATAATAAGCACTGTGTCACAGCGGTTTGACATAACGAAAAAAAAGCACAGAGCTTGATCTCTGAAAATAACTGTCCTTTGCACTTTCTCTATTAAAAACCTGCCCATACCTACAGTGATGTGACGCTAATTTAAAGGGTCTGTTCACTCAAAGACTGAAAAAAAAAACTGTATTTGTCAGGGTTTTGAGATATCCATGTATGAAACAATGTTTAAAAGTGAAGTAATGAAATTTAAAAGTCCACATGGCACACAGTTGGGCTGGGTAATAAAAGACAAATGATAATTATTGCAAATGTCATTTTACAATAACAATACAACAAATTTTTCAAGAAATGTTCAACGTTTGATTTCTTTTGTTTGAATTTGAATCACGAATTATTTATTTTGTTGAGAAAAAGACTTAATTTTACTCATGCCTCATAATTTTTTTTTTATCACAATTGTTTTGAATGTTCCACTTCAGATTTGTTAAGCGATCTACTGTGTGTAAAGTGTTTGTCATGTTCTGACCATAAAGAATAGTTTAAAAACCACAATCAACCATCTGGTTTCTTGAACTTTCATTCAGGAGCAAAAATCAGACTTTAAACTTTAAATAAATAATGATTTAACATTCATTGTGATAATCTACGAAAGGCGGTAGATGGGATGATTATCTTGTAATCTCGAGATAACGACTGTTGTTTTCTCGTAATAACAAGATCATTTTCTCGTGATCTTGAGGTAACAAAACAGTAGTTTAACACAGGTAATGGTAATGTCACAGTTGCTTTAGTGTCGCTGATTAGCTCAGTGGATTGTGAGTTCAATCCTCATGGAAGGCCAACTTTAAAAAAAAATCCTTTTCATATTCCTCATCAACAAAGTTTTTATAAGATGAAAATTGTACAATTGATTGTACGCATCCCATCGATTGGTCCACATTCATTAACCTATGGACTTTTCATTTCCCCATCATTTCCAAGCAGAGGAAATTCATCCATCCATCATCAACCGCTTATCCTGCGTACAGGGGCGCAAGCGAGGAGCATTTCATTAAATAACTTTAATTTATTTGTAGAGTTACAAAAAAAAGGGTTTTCATGACTTGAACATCCACTGTATTGTATTTCTCTGTAGAGACTGGTCCTGGCTGCTAGTAGAGTTTAGGGTTATTAGCAGCTATTTCCAGCTCTTTTGTGCTGCAGTTTACACTTCAACATCCCCAGCAGATGTCACCCGGGGATTGGACCTCATTTTTAAATTACAACATTCCTGGTGGAAAAATGAACAGGTGAGTATGCTGTCTTTTCACCTGGGACAAGTTGGATTTAGCTTTGTTTTTAGCCACACACTTATGTAAAGTTGACACATCTCCACTTCCCCCCACTGTACAAACATTAAAACAAAATGTCCAGGATATTAATCCCACCTACAAAGCTCTCAGTTGGCTCCACCTGAAGAAACAGCTGTCAGTGAGTTCAAAGCCAGTGATTTTTCATCACTGAAAAAAAAACAACTCAGGCAGTGATTTAAAAGTCTGGAACGAAGCTAAGATAACCCAGGGGTAAGACAGAAAATAACCAACCCTTTATGAGTACAAATTTTCCCACATAGGATTGCTTGATTGCTTTTGTTTGGGTTGTAATCTATCAGTTAGAATAAACTGAACAGGTTGTCTTTGATAAACTATTTCAGTTGTTATGTCATGTGATTTCCACCTCTGTCACAATGCCAAGCTGCAGAATATCCTCCTAAAATCCCATTGACAAGAGCTTTCTGGAGTGTGGGGTGTTACTAAGCCACAGAGATTTCCTCACTTCCTTTGGTTGTAGTGGTTAGCTGTTGCCAAGTACACCTCTGCTTTGATTCTAGCAACACAATATGCTTAATGAGATTCTAGAGCCTGCAAGCAGCATTCTCCATCTCTCCCTATAACCACCTACAGCAGGCCATGTGCCCACACTGCCTTGTGGTGGGCTTAACATTGTTCGCCTGCGAACAGGAACAGGCATGAACCTGTAAAAGTTCAACCAGAATTCAGACAGTTACAATTCCACGCCGTATAATTGAGACACTGCTGTTGCGTGTCGCGTAGGTCATCAACAGCTGTCACTCTAGATTATGGTTGATGTAACAAAGTGAAACATGGCACACTGGAAAAAAAGGGTTTTCCTTTTTCACTTTCAGCTTGCAGTGGTGCCTAGGTTGTTTTTAATAGCCTGAAGTTACACATAGGGGATAAGAGGCCTTGAAGGTGATGGATATGTAAATCAAGGACTGTCCATCTTAACGTTATGATACATAAATTCAGGCTATTAACTATGGCAATCTGTTTTTATTTCCCAAGCAAAATGCTCCCTCTGCTGTGTCAGTTTCTTGATTTAGAACAAGCAGTGTACGTGATCATAAATGTCAAATACCTCAAATAAGATGTGAGCTACCGAGTGCCTAAAAAGAAATTAATTAAGCTGTGTGGTCTCTGAACACTTCATTCAAAATAAGTTGTGCTGAAGTAATCAATCAGGAATGCATCGTGTCATTTATGTACACTTTAAGGGGTCAATAAAGGCGGATCGGAGAAGGCCAAGAAAGCCTTTAAATGCAGAGTGTTTAAGCTTTGCGCGTCTAGTGTTTACTGTCAGCTAATTATGGGCAAGACTGGACAGCCAACATCCCTTCTGTCAAGGCCTGAAATGTATTATGAATTCATTCACAAAAATACTGCAGCATGAGTCGTTGAGACACTGTAAATAACACTTCTACATGCCAATAAAATACATACTGTAAACCAAACACAGATGTGTGCACACACACATGCCTAAGTACATTCCTTAGGTTGCTGAATGAGATAAGAAACATCAGCTACATAGCAAACACACACACACACACACACACACACACACAAACACACACACTGTTGTTTCAGATGATAAAGTTTAAGTCTTGTTAATCATCTAAACAGAGCCACAGAAAACACATCTGATCTCAAACCAAAGCTAAAACTGAACTTCTGCAAGGGGAGTTCAGACTGCTGTGTTCCTCTGAAATTAGATTTTATTTAATCTTCCTGTATATTAGTTCAACATGCCAATGGATGGTGGTTGACTAGTGGAACCAGTTCCAAACATAAACACTTTTGTGTTTTGAGATCCTCTTTGCATTTTACAATATTTCTGGCCAGAATTTGGTTGTGGACAACTTATTATTGTGCCCAACTTAGGCAGAAACACACATAAAGAAGGCTTAATTCCATCCAATTTCATTTAGAGACAGTGTCACCATTACGTAGTTTGTCCACTGTGGCAACATTGACCAATTTATATCTATATATATTAATTAAATATGTGCCACTGAAAGTACTCTGAATGTACTACAGTTATTTAGTATCACTCTTCCATAAAGCTAACTTAAAAAAAAGGAAGACTAAGGGCCCTGTCTTACACCCAGCGCAAAGCGCAGCAAAAGTGTCATTCCTAGTTTCTGACAGTTGTCGTTTTCACGCCCAGCAGCCACGTTTTGTAAGAAGACAATGGGCCAATCCTGCTAGGAGGAGTACTGCAACAAACAAAATGAGATGTTGCATATTTATTGTTGCGGGTAGATGATTTATGCATATACACGCATATTTGGATCACGTCAGAGCCAATCAATGCATCACTAGCGGGTTCACTACATGCGTATACTTTGAGTCAGTAGAATACATCTTCTGGGGACAATGGGTGTCTGTCTAAAAAGATTGTGCCAATTCATCTAGTACATAGTAAACCACAAATGTTAACCACATAGTAGCACTGGAGGAAAAGTCAGGGCATCATGAATGTCCACACAAATCCAGTGTAACTAAAAAGGGTTAAAATAGAGGCCAAATAGAGTTGTAATGAAGAATTTCTGTTACAAAGATGTTTACAAGCCAGAATACCCAGGTGATGAAACTTGAGTCATTTTCTCAGGCTTGACAAAGCTCCTCCAGAACCACAGAAGGCATTATGCAACTTTTTTCCCAGGCTGAGTAGTAGGCTACTAACCATGACTACTAGATTGACTTTGACAAGTAAA